GGTCTTACGGGTTTCGAACAACATGAGGGTGAGTAATTAGCAGCCTAATTTTCATTTTTGGGTGAACTAACCCTTTAAGCATTGTTGTTTAAAAACAAGTGATTTAAGCCATTGAAACGAAATTACAGCACTATATGCACGAGCTGTCTGTTTCTGAGCGTGATTTCTGCAATTGGGTCGGATTGAGGTCAGGTAATATTCACACCTTAAACGATCTGTGCCAGAGTTCGTTTGGAAGCAGACCGAGACCACCTCTTCAGCTGGGTCTCGGTGCGGTTGTTTGGTCCGCACCCGAGTGCAATTGCTGTATTCACACCTGCCAAAAAGATCCGCACCAAGAGGGGAAACGAACTGGAGTTCGATTCAATCGAACCAAACATGACAGGTGTGAATACACCCTAAATGAAAATGAAAACGATCAATCGGACCAATCACCGCAGATTAGCGTCACGCAAAGGAGGGGTTCGGAAAAATTAATCGTTGAGCGAATCGTTTGGGAGTCGTTGAGCAAGCAAAATAAATGCATATTATAAGACAATGAAAGTGTTTTTTGACCTTGCATGCATGTCAACCTGTTGTTGGGGACTCCCAAAACCAAAATATGAACCTTTCATAACCCATAATAGGGGCACTTTAAATATTAATAATTTTGAATAAAGAAAATTAAGCGGTGAAAAATCATATCACCCATATCACCCATCATATCACATACAACTAAGCCTTTAAAACGTGATGATATGTTTACACCATCTGCCTCATTTCAACACTACTGACAGCAGCAACAGATTTGTGGGTGGACAAGGTCAAATAACCAGCTTTATGCATTTTAACTGAAACAATGGCTTGCATAATGTATGCAAAACAATGGCATGCAATGATGCCAGACGTACTGGCTGCTGAGGGTGTGTGGGTGTGTTTTTGTTTGTGATTACACTTACAGCACAGAGGTAGCCAGAGCCCGGGGTGGTGTCTAGACCGAGCAGGAGTCTTGCAATGAGAATCATATAGTCCTTCACAAAAGACTAGAGGATAAACAGAAACTACATAAACACAGAAACGGTCCCCAGAAAGCACACAGATGATCTCCAGACCTCACATAATCAATAAAGACTCCACAGAGACTCAGTGCCTGAGGGGAGCAAAGCAGGACCACAGTCTACTGCAATTGCCACTCAAGGTACTCTGTTTCTATCTACTGCACAGAAAGGTGAAAATCTGCCTTTAGTTTTGAGCATCAAATGTGTGGAGAAACAAAACATGCACTACACACACACACACACACACACACACACACACAAATACATTTATTTTATTTTAATGTGGGAGGGACAATGACACATCAAGCTGAACCTGAGTTTATCTTTAACATTGGCTGAATTTATCTTAATGTTTTTGATTGACAAATACTGTAATTTTTTAATAATTAGCAGCCCTCCTTTTGAAGACCCCTAGCTTAATATAAAAAAAAACAAATCAAATATTCCATATACATACTGTACATACACTACTGTTCACAAGTTTGGGGTTGATAAGACTTTTTTTTTTTACTTCAGAAACATTTATTATTATCATAGTTAAAAACAATTGTGCTGCTTAATGTTGTTCAAACTGATACATTTTTTCAGGATTCTTTGATGAAAAGAAAATTTGTAACTCTTTAAGCGATTTCTTGCTCTCATCAAGGCTGTATTTATTTGATCGAAATACTGTAAAAACAGTAATTTTGTGATATAATATTACAATTTAAGATAACCGTTTTCTCTATTTTCACATAAAATATAATATATATATATATATATATATATAAAACATTTTATTTATTCCTGTGATGGTAAAGCTGAATGTTCAGCAGCCATTACTCCAGTCTTCAGTGTCACATGATCCTTCAGAAATCATACTAATATGCTGATTTTGTGCTCAAGAAATGTATTTATTATTATCAATGCTAAAAACTGTTATTCTGCAAACTGTAAAATTTGATGAATTATTAGATGAATAGTTCAAAAGAACAGCATTTATTTTAAATAGAAATCGTTTGTAACATACATGTTATTGTCACTTTTGATCCATTTAATTTGTCCTTGCTGAATAAAAGCATTCAATTCTTTAAAAATAAAAACTTACTAACCCCCAAATGTTTTGAACCGTAGTGTACTGTATATAATATATATTCATAGATATCAGAGAGCCACAAGGTGGCACCAAATTTTTCATATCTTGGTAGAGGATTAGCAGAAATTGCATCTGATCTATTACCCACCTGGTAAAGAAGAGTATCCAGCATACTAATACTGAACACTCTGCCTGCAGCGAATGGAAGGCGGAACATGAATGCCAGATTAGAGCCCTTATCTCTCTCTATCTGGAGGAAAGGGAAAAAGATCACAACAAAAGATTGAAGGCTCTTTCCACCGCTGATGATTTAGAGATTTTGAGACCATCTGGCAATTTCCTATCCAGCATTATCCCAGTTTCGGTATTTTCAGGCATTTACAGCCATTTGAAGCATGCAATCATCACAAATACACCATACTTAAGAATCACTCAGAAAGATTCCTAATGCATCATGTCATAATAAATTTGTAGCATTTAAGCAAAGTTATTTCATATCATAGAAAAGTCTGAAATGTAGTATGCTAATGTTATGCCTGGTTAGAGTAGTTAAATTGTTTACTTGCAAGGAAGAATAATTATAAACTATTATTGGAGTCCAAAAGTCTGAAACTCAAAATCTAATTTAAACCTGGAAATTAAAAAAATAAATAAAAATAAAACAAAGAAATTAACAACAAATAATTTAGATTATTTATTATTATTTCTGCCCTATTTCTAGATCATGTGATATAAGGTTTTACACAAACTAATGGAGTCCATGGGGCTTGAATCATTCTCAAATTCATTAGAATTTTTGATTCAACTTTACACACTGTTATGATCAATATAATTTACAATGACTGAAATAATAAGTTCTAAAAATTCAAAACATCTCAGACTTTTGGACCTACTGTAGATGTTTAGTGAAATGGTGTGGTTGTTAAGATATGACACCTTTTCAAGTTTGGAGAGAGCCAAGGAGTAGCAGTCTTTGGCACGAAACTGCATGAATCTCATATTAGAAGGATGGGTTAGTTCAGTGATTATGCTGAGACTAGGAAACAACCTAGTAGAGGACACAACAACAAAGACGAAAATGAAGTTTTGCAGGAAAAACTCAGCCAACAAAGTAATTAGTACCCAGCTAATGTAGAGAAAAACATCAGCTTGAAGACAAATACAACCAATTTGCTGTTAGAGGATACAACGTACCTGAACATGGTCTGCACGTTAACTATGGTTTTAGCATCTGCCATGTAGTCTTCCTCTGCACTCATCGTGCTCTCCTTATCCACCACCACCAGGTTATCAGCGTAGATGATGCCACACTGCAGCAGGTTATCTAAACTATGACAGAAACCAGCACAAATGGACCATTCAGACCAGACTAAAACCCATTTTGGGTTGTGTTTGTGCAGTGAAATGTTTAAAAACCTACTTGTCAATGGTACCAGCCATGTAGTACACCATAGGGAAACAGCAGATGGCTTCAAGAAAATGATTATCAGGCCTGGAAATGGAGGGGAAGAGCAGTTTGAAAATGCTAATCCACTCACAGCTGCAGTTTTAAAGTTCTTAAAGGTTTGGCACTGGCAAACAACCTTATAAAAATGTATTCTCAGGGTAAAAGCTTGTGCAAAATGCAGATGTTGACACATCTCAGAGTTGCCATGGAAACTCTGAGGAAGATTCTACAATGTGACTGTACACTATTTTGCATTAGTGAAAGGAAGAATATGTGGCGCATAATGAACAACACTTTTGAAAGCGTTTAGCATTAGAGAGCAATATAATACATAAGGATTTCCATCTAATACATGACAGAGTGTGAACTGAGATTTGTTTTTTATGCAAATATGCCTGGAAGTATTTTTAAGTGGTAAAGTCGGGTTAAGCAATGCTTTCGACTGGCTTTCGAAGTCTAAAGTCATCACTATGAACAGTAACATGGGCTGAAAAACTGATGAGGCAGCTCGCTCACGGATTATCCAGCAGCAGTACAATGGGATTCAGCTCCTTCCGAGGTCGGTAATAGGCACGCAGCGGCACTATGAAGTTGTACAGGCCATTTCCCGCTGTCTCAGCAGAAACGATAATCAACTTGTTTTTGAAACCATATGCCTTGGCATCTTCAAAGCTATTGTGCCGACAACCCTGCAATCAAAAACAAGTAAAATGTTTAGTGGACTGAAATAAATGATACAGATATCAGCTCTAAATGTATGCCACACACACACACACACACACACAAATGTTCTTAAATGCATCATAGAATGTTGCAATAAATACATAATGCATGGAATACATACAGTATTTTGTAAAATGAAATGAAACAAATTGCCACAAAATGAAAAACCTCAGGAAATATGAATTGAAATACACGCTATAAAAAAATTAAATACAGTGGACAACATCATTATATCATTAAATTGAAAACATCATACATTCAGTAAATATAAGCATAATGAAAAGTGAGTTCAAATAAATATGGTGTGTGAAATGTATTTATGTAAAATGAAAAGTGACCTGAAAAATGACATGATACCCATTTCTTTGTACTTTTATGTATTCATTGCTAAAATGCATGACAAATTAATTAATTCAGACTGTTAAATCCCTCCACATAAATATACTAGCATTACATAAGTCAGTAAAAACTTCACAATTTATCTTTCATCAAACTATGCCACAGCAATGGATTAAGCTGAATCGCTTTCAGTATTTAAGGGTGAATTAAGAGTTATACACTCACCTTGTCAAGTCGTAGGCAACAAAACGGCGCCTTTTGTTGCAAAAGGTGACAAAGAGTTGGGGAGCTTCCAATGTAAGGGGAGTTTGGAGGATAGCCTTTAATACACCTTGAAAAAGCAGAAGGATATAAAATGTAACAAGTATGAGTATTAATTAGCACATGATACAGCTCATGAACCCTTGACTGACATCAATCAGTCTACAAAGGCTTTATTTTTGAAAGCATTGCATGTAAATGATCAGTAGATGGCACTGTGAGAGCACTGAAGGATCAGCAGCTCAGTACAGCAGAGCAGGGATATTCACCAATTCACTCTGCTCACCAGAGAAAGCATTAGAAAATACAGGAGTCCTGCGGCGAGAACGACTCAGTGCTGTTCTGTAAGAGATTTAGTCTTTATCAATAGTGTGTGTGTGTGTGTGTGTGTGAGAGAGAGAGAGACAGAGAGAGAGAATCAGTCCACGTTTCCTCCGGCGCTGACTGACATAAGCAAACGCTGTAATTATTCTGCAGCATGACCGCTGAAAGGCTGATAGCAACTAATACATTTAAGGTTCATCTGATCTTCCTGAAAGCTATAAAATGTAATTCAACAATCACACTAGTGAGAGTGCACAGTTAAGAAATAACTAGAAATTTTTTTCAGCAAGGATGCATTAAATTGATATCAGTAGAAGTGTCAGTAAAGACATTTATAACTTGATAAAATTTCTATTTGACTTAAATGCTGTTCTTTGTAATTTTCTTTTTATCAAAGAATCCTGAAAAAATGTATACGTTTCCACAACATTAAGAAGCACAATTCTTTTTAACACTGACAATAATAATTGTTTCTTAAGCAGCAAATCAGAATGATTTCTGAAGGATCATGTGACACTGAAGACTGGAGTAATGACTGCTGAAAAGTCAGCTTTGCCATCACAGGAATAAATACATTCAAATTGAAAACAGTCATTTTAAATTGTAATAATATTTCTTTTTTTTCCTTGGTGAGGAGAAGAGACCTTTAACTAAAAAAAAAAAATCTTAGCGACCCCAAACTTTTTAACAGTAGTGTAAGTGTACAGGATTTTCCTGGTGCTGTACTTGAATATTTCATTTATCATTTTATTGTCTCCCAGTTAAAAATGGGTTGCTTAGGAAAGTAGTAGCACAGCTATCCACATGAGACTTGATTTAAGGCTCATGTCTTTCACATTTGCTGGCTCTTTAAAACGTCAAAGACAAACTATTCTATCACGCTTTCCCTGAGAAATCACATCGATTTTGTACTTTTAAAATGGTATTTACTCTAAGGCTGGTGCTCCTTCCTCATCCGATTGGTTGGTCTCATCTTCTGAGGGGTCACTGAGAAGATCACAAGGCAGGATTGCAGAGGAATCAGCGATCTCCAGCACAGGGGCAATGCTGGGTCTACGACTCCCAGCTCCGTTCTCTGTGGGCAGGGTCAGTTTACTGCTGTCAGCCGGGGGATCTGGGTTCTGCAGGTCAATGGCCACAGTTCCTGTAATGCAAAACAAATGAGCCATGAGAGCTGAGGTTTTCCTCTTTGGGCAAGCTTTGGGAAAGTGTGATGTGAGGAAATTGATGTGTCCACCGATAAAACGATCTAAAATCTGAAATGTCAATTGCTTTTGTGCTATTTTCAGTGCAATGAAAGCGGCCAAAGAAATACTGAGTTATGAACATCAATTTTTGATGACTCAGAATTTAGGTCAATTCCAGTTCGTTTCCATCAGCACAATGAATAAAATGAAAAATCTTGCGTAAATTACTAGGAAAATTAGCCTACGTACACAGTAGATGCTATAAATATTTAATTACAGCACAATATTTCTTAAACGCACTGAAGTTGACCTCAACCCTGATTTATTGCTTTTTATGAATGAAGACTGATTTGCACATTTCAAATCAGTGCTTTGCAACCGAAATCTTTAAGCACCGTGAGGTTTAATTTAAAAATGCTGAAGGGAAGAACATTTTCTTAAGGGAAATTCTGCTGTTATCCAGAAAATTGTTCCTTTGCAAAATGTTAAGAGCAGTTGTGAAAACAAATCAGTGAAGAAACATAATGAACTAGTTCCTTATATATAAATAATTACAGTAGAGAGTAGGCCAGGGATATTTTACACATGCAAAAGCAGTTTCCAAGCCCAATCGAGGAAAAAAAAACTTCATTTTGTAGGTAAAAAGCTTGCAGGACAAAAGCCTTGAGCTTTTGAGTTCCACAAAATAACAGGAATGAACGGGAGAGAGAGGTTTCTGTAAATGTTAACATTTACACAGACATCCACTAATGATGTCTTATGATTTAACTGTGTCTCGAAACCACATGCTCAGACTTACCATATGAAGTAGACTGATCAACTTCAACAAAGGAAAAACAATGAAAGAAAGTATATTTTATCATGAGCATGACTTAAAACTTCTTTATTTTGATAAATTCACCCTGACAATGTTGTTTCTGAATGTTACTCTCATACCACTAACTGGCATATGGAAACCAACCCTCGGGCTGCACTGATGTAAACAAATTAAAACTTGTGCTTCATTTGTTTAGGCTGTGTTATGTAACAATAACAACACCACTGATGTTTAAATCAGTCATTATTTTCGGATTTCCGCTTGGTGCAGCTTTCAAGAAACTCATTAGGCTGATGATTAAAAGTTTGAAGATTTCTGTTAGCTGCATCACTTCATCAGGTAGACACTACTATCTGTTCCCTCACCCATGCTTGCGATGATGTTCTGCACCGGGAGACGAGATGGGGCGTCATACACGCCGGTGGCCGACAGCCCTTTGCTGTGCTTCTCCTCCTGTTTGAAGATGAAGGCAGAGTTCTCCTCTTTAGTGATGTTGATGTAGTAGCAGGTGTCTGTGGCAGACATGATGTGGCGAGGGCCGGGGTTCAGAAGTATGCTCTTATTGTCTTCTCTCTTTGTGCCGATTAGGCAGACGCCATACCTAAGGAACAGATGATTTTGGTGTTTAAGAGAGAAAGGAATTGCAGTAGGGGACAGACAATAGTTTGTTCCATTGTTCAGTGCAAGTGCACGCAGACTGAATCCTGCTCTCTTGCGAATTACGAACAAAATGCAGATGTATGTACGATGGTACTTGGTACTTGACAAGAAGATGTGTACTTAATAGATTACACTAACATTAGGCTGCGTTTAGCATTACGCTGGAATTGGTTCACTCTCAGGCAATGAAACTAAGTAAGTAAATAATTAAATTAGCACGATAATACTGTGTATCGGCGATCTCACAGGCTGACGATAGGACGATATGACTATGGAGCATATAGCCCAACACTAGATTGCAGTGCTAACTGATCTTTATTTGGGAGGATCTACACCCTGATGCTACTTTGAGGATCTTGAATACATTATATTTTATTGTTATTCTGTAGAGTACAAGTACAGAGCCAGTGAATGCATATAGTAATATATCACGTGAATTAAAACATGATGCAAATGAATTACACATGGCAATAAAGTGCAATTGACCATTATAATGCAAATGAGATTAAGCCATAACAGGCTGAGCAAAGTGACCAATAGAGTGTGAATTACCTGATATATACACTACTGTTTAAAAGTATGGGGGTCTATAAATTTCTTTTTTTTAAGACATAAAGGGCCAGATTTACTAAACGGCAAATTAGCGTTAAAGCGCAATTCTATAAAAGTGCCGATGGGATTGGAAAATTCTGCGGTTGATTTACTGACAAGGAGCACATTAAAGAACACAGACGCAGCATCAACATTTCCATAATGACCAGCGCAATCTACCAAGAGCAGCGCAAATTACCCCCTGCTTTAAGACATGCTTTTTTGGGGCGTTAAATAATGGCACAAATACCAGTGAACTGACCAGCGCAAATCTTAGTAAATCGCGTTGCGTGATTCATTTAAATCTCCTCCCATAAATTTACAGATCAAAAGGGAAACTCCTACAAATGCATATTCAATAAGGTGAGTCGCAAAAATAACTGTCCACATCTTTTCAAAACTAATTTCCCACTGCGTGTCTTTAGTAAATCCTGACCGTTTTTTTAACACCAAATGAGGGTTTGCGCTGGCGCAAGCTGATAGTAAATCTGCCCCAAATAGTTCTATTAAGCAAGGATTTATTAAATTAATCAAAAGCGACAGTAAAGACTTTTACATTGTAACAAAAGATTTCTATTTCCACTAAATGCTGTTCTTTTAAACTTTCTATTCATCAAAGAATTCTGGGGAAAAAAGTATCAGTTTCCACAAAAACATTAAACAAAACAACTGTTTTCAACATTGATAATAAGAAATGTTTCCTGAGCAATATGATTTCACAAGAATGATCAAGTCACACTGAAGACTGAAGTAATGGCTGCTGAAAATTCAGCTTTGCATCACAGGAATAAATTACATTTCAAAATACATTAAAATAGAAAATATTTTACAATATTACAGTTTTTACTATATTTTTTATATAAATGCAGCCTTGGTCAGCATAAGAGACTTAAAAAAACATTTTAAAAAATCTTACCCACCCCAAACTTTTGAACAGTAGTGTATATAGGGAATGTGTAAAATGAAAACAGCAGTGTGCAGAGTGGCAACAGTATTACAGTAATAAAAAAAAAAATCAAGAAAATGTACAAAATACCAGCATGCTCAGTCAGCTGACACCTGGGGATTTTTTTTAAGGAGGGTTTCTAAATAAATCACTTCACATGCATCCCAATAGTAAATTGTGCAGCTCAAAGTGTTCCACAATCACTCACTTTTTATGTGCATGGAAGGAGGCATAAGTAAAACTCTTCCCGTCATATTCGCCAAAGAACTTGCTGTCCATCAGACGAATGTGGTAAACTTCATTCCCAGAGCAACGGCCATATGTCCTCTGCCACTGTTCTGGAGACATCTGTCCCTCCCTGAAACCCCAAGCAGACAGGTCAAACACAAGCACAAAGATCACACTCCAAACCTTGTTTCAGCAAATGTGATATCACTGTTATTGTGGGAATATTTGAGAGTTTTCTTTATACAAAAAAATCTCAGCAAATTCAGGTGAATGCATGGTCAGTCTTCCTCTGGGAAATAATCACAGGAAGTTTAATGGCATTGATCGGCTCTCCTCACAAATCTGCCCTGAGTAATTATTTGTGACACTATTAATTGTTAGGGATCACAGAATTGGAAAGGTTACGTGAGGTGTCATTATTCATTATTAAATCCTTCAATAAAATAAACAGCATTTGAGAAAACACTTCTCTTTGATCAGTGTCAGGGAAAAAAGGAAGACATCAGTACTCACTGTCCACGAGACGTGTGCACCAGGAGTGTGACCAGTGTCGAAGTGGCTGGGCACACACAGTTGAGGGCCAGCATGGCATACTTGAACTCCTCCTCACACACCACATGATCTAACAAACAAAACATACCGACACCTCATTTGTGTGAGAATTTATAATGTAATGTAATGTAATATAATCATGCACTGCTTGTTATGACTTTGGCCAAATATTCATTGCATACTTATCAAATCACCCTGGATCACAACAGTAAATGAACAAATATTAAATATTGATGTTCCCTTAAAAAGGAATGAATTTCAATGAAACAGCTCTCAAATGATAAAGCACCAGGCACAGATGGACTCCCTGCTGAATTCTATAAACACTTCTACGACACCGGTCATTCTTGTGAAATTTGGAGACACTATGAAACTAAAAACACCTCAGTTTCACCACACAAGTGAACTGCCCTAATCTCAGTACTTAAAAAACTAACATAAATCCAACTTTACCACTCCAGATCACTAATCAACATAACGTCAACTTCATCAGAACAGCTTTAACACCCAGAGTTGATTCGGTCATCTTGTTCATTCAGATCAAATTGGTTTCATTACAAGACACTTTTTAAATTAAGGCTGGAATACACTACATAACTTTTAAAAACTGAACAGATCTTAAAATACTGGGCATCATACATTTACCGACTTGGTCATCATACACTGACTGAGGAGGATCACACACTACCAGACTTTAAAGTCAAAAATCACGCAGAGTTTGCATCTTTTGCTTGGAGACACGTGACAAATGAAAACAACGTATGTTCTAAAATCGACTCAAAATATCAAACATGTCTGATATCCTCCAACTGGATGGAATCAGAGTCTGAAGCTAAAAAATTAGAGTCTGTGACCATCATACACTACGTGATTTTCTATGAAATCAGTCAACTCAAATCCACATTTAGTGACAAAATATATGCTTATGTTTTGTGTTGTGTTTTTGTCATTTTTAGTATATTTTATATATATATATATATATATATATATATACAGTATGTCTACGTAGCTTTTATTAATTTTTTCATTTAATTTTACATTTAGTAATTTTACAAGAAGTTAAAATTATTTAAAATGAAAAAAAGGTTGCCTTGGGAATTAGCTGAAATACAAAGTTTTTATTTCAGTTAATGCTTACAATATTTTATTTCAAGTAATGTAAATTTTTAGTTCATTTTAGTTAACCTTGATATATTTACAGTATGTGTATGTGTAAACCCTTTCACTTTAAATGCAATGATATAATACTGCTTTTACAGAACCCAACAAGATAATTTGATAGCATATTCAACATTTAACAAATAATAGTTGAAAGATCTTAATATCACAACCATTTTTCACAATAAAACCACACAATCACACTGTACTGTTAAGTACTGTTGTACTGTCAAGGCTACTGCTATATTGCCATGGATGACTCTTATCTGAACATGTGGATCAAGAATATAATTCTGTGCTACACACAAAAACGAGAAACTAAACAAGAATCTTGCATTAAAAGTTTTAATATGCCAGGTTATGCAAATCTTCCCACATCGTGACGTAGACATGTGGGGGCGTGTTAGAACAAACCGTTTTAGGTAGGTGTGGCTGACTCTGAACTTTTATAAAGAATATCTCTTTGGATTTGAGACTTTAGTCTTTGCAACTTTACAGATCTTCTTTATGCACCAAGAGCTTGTAACACTCCAAAGAGAAAGGAAAAATTTAAATCGCATCATATGACCCCTTTAAAGCTGTTTATTTTAAATCTCTTTTCTTCATTATTTACCTTTCTCAAAGTGTTTGAATTACGACATGCTTTTAGAGCACTGCACACGCAAAGGGGCATATTAATCCCTCTTAATACTTCACTTCATCTGCTAAATGAACACATGTAAATGCAAATGCAGTGACCCAAGAGGTGGAGGCCATGCTAGACATACAAAACGGCTGCTCATAACCATGAAACATTTCAAAGAGGATGTATAACTTGGGAGACTGAGGGTGTAGAATCCAGATGGATCTATATTTATTATTCATACAACTACAGAAAACACACACACACACACAACAACAACAACCATCTATAGTACATACAATAAGCTATAAGCTGCTAACATATTGCCCTTACAATAAGACCATGTCTAATTGTCAGGAAAGATTTCACATTTCACACTTTTAATGTTGTATTTTATGTTTATATATCAAAAGGCATTTAAAATGTTAGATTTTTTGTTGACTTGCTGTTGTATTAAAAGTAATGGACTATATAAATTACATAAATTTTGGTCAAAAGACCAAAAATTATGACTATGTAAATAAACACTACCTCATGCTTGTTAAAATTTGAATATGATTTATGAAGGACAGATGCATATTTACTGATTGCATATAAAATGAGTCAACCTGAAGAAGAAGGGAAAAAAAACTAACCTGCAAATTTGACATGGAATTTGTTCTCAGGTTTGAGAATCTGGACATATAGAGGACAGTTTGGAGCAAAGTCCTTTACAGCCCACGCTCGCAGAATGGTTTGATGATCCTGTAAGATCAGACATCATTCTTACAATATGATATGCACACTTCATTTTGCCATTAAATACAGTTTTAGTGAGAAAATCACTCACTGTATTTGTGTTACAACAACAAAAAACTGATAGTCATTCTGAAATACATGCAATAAGTGTCAATAATAACTTTTAGAGCTGCAACTAACAACTACTTTGACAATCAGATTATCTGTTGATTATTTATTTGATTAACTGGTTAAACAAAACCATTTGAAATGGTTAGGCCTACAATATAAAATGATAAAACACAGTCATCATAGTTTAAAAGATGAAAACAAAATAATCATAATAATAAAAGTATGAATAATATTACAATATACGTTTCAAATTTCCCACTAGCTTTAAGCTACTGTTCATTTAAAAATATAATTACTTGCATTCCATACTATAGTTTCTATTATGGTTAATAAAGTAAATTTGATGTGTAACAGTAAAAATTGTTTTGATTAAAATAATTAGGTTTCTTGTTTTTGCTGCACTCCATTTGATTTATTTAAAAAAGTTCCTGTGCTTGGGAAAACGTGTGTTGTATATTCATCCGCTGCAGCTCACATTTTAAAAAAGGTGTGCTTTTTGAATAGAAATTAGGTTTATTTTTATTAATTTGAAGTGGCTTCACTGATAAAAATTCTCTATACACAGCTCAAAGACCCGACTAATCGATAATGAGATAGGATTTACGATTATTTTCCTTCTCAGTTATTTGTTGTTTGTAGTATTTTCCTTCAGGGAACGAGGGTTACCATACGTAACCGAGACGTTATTAGTTGTTTTTGCAGCCCTAATAACTTTTACTTTTGGCAAGGAACTATATGAGGCTATATTTACAGCTGCGGTGCGGTCCACTTCATTTCTGCTGCTGAGGATGAAGCACGCCTCTGCATCGTCCATCCTGCAGGACACAGAACATCATTACACAGCAGTGTCACTCAGATGTAAAGTGAATTCCTCCTGAAGGCCTGCACATGTGTGTATGCATTAATGTGCTGATAGGTAATTATTGCCATGCTTTTCACAGTCAGTACTGAGGGTCAATTTCACGGTATACTAGCCTCACGTCCAGCAACTATAGATTTAAGATGTTTCTTCTCATTGAAAAGGCTGCCATTAATATTCAGATGGTTTTCATTCACACTCTTAATGCTTTCTGGATATGTTCCAGGTTCCTGTTAAACTCTGTCAACAGCATCTGTGACATGCTGTCAATTACCACAGTAAATAATTTTGACTCTTCCCTCAGTTTGTAAAAACAAACAAAAATTGAGTGTAATGCTTTTACAATGGAAGCCTTTGGTGTACAACACTACAATAGGATAAATGTCACAAAATACACACTGCATCTTCAAAAAAAAAAAAAAAACAGCCACATAACACTGGTAAACCCAGCAACACAAACACTATCTATTCTTTCTGTGACTGTAAACAGACATGACCACTTACATTTGCAAATCCACATTATGGAATAACTGTCTCTAAATCAAACAGTCTCTAAATCTCTAAAGTCATTAAAAATGCAAAAGCACACATTCACGTAGAGTGCAAATATAACAGCTTATTTGTGCATTAAATTACAAATAAAAAATGACCTGCGTTGTACAGTATTGTGAGTGTACTAAAATATGTATTTGTGCAGTTTTATGTGTGAACTGCAGCATTTGTGAGAACATACTGAGAGAGATACTGCTAAAAATGTCAATAATTTCTCTGGAGATGCAGGGAAATTATATAATGACCTTTTTTTACCAGCTGATGTAGTTACAGCGTCTAGCAGCAGGGGCAAACTGAATCATACTAACCAGCTAAACAACAACTTCTTGGTGACAAGTGACCTGTGCTGAAATGGCACAATTCATAACAGAAGTGCTTAAAAAATATGAGCTGCAGTGCACAATTCTGCATTTAAACCCTGAAAAATGCCTGGTCGCATAGATTTCCAACGGCACTGAATTACTGCAAATAACAAATCAACATCATATCACAGATGCTTTCGATAGAGCCTGTTTTAAACCCAAAACATTCTTTAAATCTAAAAGTGTGAGATATAACCACTGGCAAAAAGTAAGGTAACATTATTTTCTCAGTATTAACTAGTTGCTTTTTAGCATGCATATTACTAGCATATTGGCTGCCTATAAACTACATATTAATGCCTTATTCTGTAAAACCATATTTCAGATCCCTTAATCCTACCCCATACCTAAACTTAACAACTACCTTACTAACTATTAATAAGCAGCAAATTAAGAGTTTGTTCAGGGAAAACTCTTAACAGTGAATATGTGTTCCCTATTCTAAAGTGTTACCAAAAGTAAAGTGCTCACAACATGCATAATTCATCCAGTAATACGCAGCAGCAATGAACACATCTTAATAATTAGAAAATGACTTTTTTCCACATAGAGACTTTTAACACCATAAAGTCATTTAAATTCCAGCCTTCCCATTACAATACACAGATTACACGTCTGGCCAGGAAACCAACTGAGTTTTATGAGAAATCCATGCACTAGAATATGAAGTGGGCATATTGAGACACATTCGCTGCATTTATAATCAAGGAATATAGTAGGATTCTAAGTGCAGTTACATTGCAGGAAGAAGCAGATATATTATCCTTAAATTTCAGGGCTGCTTTAATAAGGAACAGATGGGCTTGAGACTGGTGTCAGGTTTGGCTCTGGCAGTGGAGCTTGCAGGTTGACTCTTCAAATGTCCTCTCAGACTAATTTAGTTCTTTTTTTTTGGGAGCCTGTCCAAAGCTTCCATTTGGAAATAGTTCATCAGTAAGCATATGCAAGTTTAAATTATAGAAATGCCACATTCATGTACTTGTACATCACTGTGAAAAAGTGAGTTATGACTGAAGTTTACTAACAGCTCTTTCACTCTCAGAATCTAAAAAGCAAGAAACACACGTTGTCTTTCACAGAGAATAATGAGATTATGCTAATTTAATTAGCTAAACTGCTTAGCCTGCCATTAAGCCAAACCTTAACAGTGAAGCATTGCTGTGCACTTTATAGTGAGCCATAAATCGTCCAACACATTTGCTGCTTTAAGTACCATTCTTGCAAGTTGTACTATTGATGTCTACACTTCATAGACATTGAAGTCACCTTACTCAATATAAAAACAGTTCAGTTATAAAGAACTGCACTCCATATCTTATGTCCTTAAATGTTTTTTGGTGAATGTACTGTAACTCTTAATACACTGTTGAATGCACAAGAGCTCGCTGACAGGCTACATGGAAAATGGAAATCTCCACATGACAATATTAATCTCATTCCGAGGTCAATTCTCAAATGTTCTCAGTAATCTAGAGATAGTATAAATGTATTTAAAAAGGACTTGATGAAATCACTTGCAGTAACAGATAAGTTTGCTGATCCATTGGACTGATGTCTGTATCAGTCGAATGGCTCTCTCATAGACTCAAACATGGAGTCATTCAGTGAAAATCTAACTGTAGGTCCATTTTTGAAGTTGAATTCAGTGGCAGGCAAGTGAGATAAGGCATAACCAAAAGAAAAAAGAAACCTTTAACTAGTGGTTTACATATAAGTAAAATCCAGTTTTTTTTTTAGTGTGAAAGAGGAAATTGTTTGACATCCATTATCTCAATAATAACAATAATAGTGCAACTTCATATTCAAGGATACAAATAATGTTTTGCATTTAAATCCACTTGGTTTAAAAATCTGTGTTGGCATGTCAATGGACATGACTATAAAGGTCTATCCAAAATTGTAGTTGTTTCATTTTCCTACTTTAATCATGTTCAGAATGCATCTACATATAATAAAGGGACCTTTTAGACAAAAAACTAATTTTGAAAACTTACTTGGCTCTCATCAGGTCTTGATCCTTCAATGCAGAGCCTTGGAGGTAGATGACCCGTTGAGACCACAATGGGATCTGCAGTATACGCCGCACCTGGATGTCCATCTCAGAGGGACAGAGTATCACCACATAATAATCCTACAAGACATTAGAGAATTAATGATACTACCATCACATACTGAGCTAGATTCTAATACAGATTACTGGAAAACACGGAGCAAAAATAAACACTTGTATGTACCTGTAGTCTCGGATGGGCATAGAACTCGTTGAGGAAATCCATGAGCAGGTCTATTTTGAGTGAAGTGACGCAGAGAACCACATGTTTCTCTGTCTGAGCACGATGTCTGCTGTAGTTTCCACCTGACTTCTGCCTCTCCATCCAAAGATACGCCAACTCTTCAAACTGGTGTCGAAATGAGAGACAGAAAGTAAGTACTGTGTAAATGGAGTATATTATTAACCATTCCACTTATTTCTGCTTTAATCATCTAAAAAATTAAATGCAAAAAGTGCTCAGTGAGGCTGGCTCTCCCTTCATTAAGCTGTGTAAATTTAATCATGGCAGGGCATTAAAGGAATAGTTCACACAAAAATGAAAATTTGCTGAATAGTATCTCACCCTCAGACCATTTAAGATGTAGGTGAGTTTGTTTCTCCATCAGATTTTGAGAAATTTAGCATCACACTACTTGCTCACCAGTGGATCCTCTGCAGTGAATGGGTGCCGTCAGAATGAGAGCCCAAACATCAATAAAAGCATCAAAATAATCCACGCGACACCAGTCCAGCAATTAACATCTTGTGAAGTGAAAAGTTGCATGGTTTTAAGAAACAAGTCCATCATTAAGATGTTTTAAATTTGAACGGTCTTTTCTGACTTTTTTCACTTGTAAATTGTACTTGATCTGTGCATATTTCTCTCCTGATTCAAGTAAGATGACTTTCACTAGAGAAAACAATACTATGGATAAAGGACTTGTATTTTGGACAGAAGCAATGGTTTAAGGTTTAAAACATCTTAATGGATTTCTTTATTACAAACATGCAGCATTTCACTTTACAAGATGTTAAAGGGGTCATATCATGCTGCTAAAAAGAACATTATTTTGTGTATTTGGTGTAATGCAATGTGTTTATGCGGTTTAAGGTTTAAAAAAACACATTATTTTCCACATAATGTACATTATTGTTTCTCCTCTATGCCCCGCCTTTCTGAAACGTGTCGATTTTTACAAAGTTCATCGGTCTGAAAAGCGAGTTGTGCTCTGATTGGCCAGCTATTCAGATGGGGGTGTGTTAAAACGAGGCGTTTTAGGAGGGCGTGGACAAGTCTTAACTTTTATAAAGAATATCTCTTTGGATTTGAGACTTTAGTCTTTGCAACTTTACAGATCTTCTTTATGCACCAAGAGCTTGTAACACTCCAAAGAGAAAGGAAAAATTTAAATCGCATCATATGACCCCTTTAATTGATTGTTTTTATCAGCTGTTTGGACTCTCATTCTGACGGCACCTATTCATTGCAGAAAATCCAATGGTAAGAAAGAGATGTAATGGTAATTTTTCCAAATCTGTTCCAATGAAGAAACAAATTAATCTACATCTTGGATGGCCTGAAGGTGAGTATATTTTTGGGTGAACTATTCGTTTAATACTGAAGGCTAGTGATTGTGCTGCTTGTGGTCGTATCACCTGTAATGGCAGCACCACCAGAGCCACACAGATCATGATGACCACGAGTAGCTGAGAGGGCCAGATTCTGGGTGTGACGTCTCCATAACCAACAGTCGAGAAGGTGACGATGCAGAAATATAAAGCGTCGAAAAGAGTGAGATTCTTCCCTGCCCGCTCGAGGTGCTGAATCCCACAAGCCCTATGGAGTATTAGAAAATAATTTTAAAAATAGAGATTATATCTAATAAATTTAGCATCATAGTTTCATTAGGAAGACATTTCAAGGCTCTTTCCATGAATAGGGTTCAATAGAGCTGCTCAGTCATGATGGCAATTTGTAGGCTTGTCCAGAAGGCCATTTCACCATGGGCTCCCTCAGGAATTTCAAATGGGTTTTTAAAATAGCGGTTTTCGATTTGGAGTAAAATAAGGTCTGAAATAAAGACTTTCACATTTTGCTCTACAACATATTACATGTCATGTCTAAAATGGCAATTTTAAAACCACTGTGTGGTTTACATTATAACATCAATTTCAATTATAATGTAAATACATAAGGACTGTAACAGTTGTGTGATTTATTACATTCTGTGGTAGTTGTAGTCCATAATAACTTTATTCAGACCCAAGACCCAATATATTGATACAAGTGTATCAGATATATATGCAAATATATGCTAATACAAAATAAAATATAAGGGCTAATAATTACTGTAGTTTGACCACCTGAGAATAATCAAATTAAACTACCTTCTGCTACTGACACTTCAACTTTGTTGAAAAACAACAAAATTTTACTTTATGATTTAAGATTTTCAGTTGTTTCATTTAAATAATTAATGCTTCCAAATATAGCGCAACAGTTCTGTTCTGAAACTCAGAATACCATTTACAAACTTTTTTTTTAGCATTAAAGTATTTATTGTTCAAGACGGACATAAAATGCAGCAAAAAATAGTAATATACAGTGAATTTTTATTACATTCTAAAATTACTGTTTTCTATTTGAAAATATTTAAAAATGTAATTTATTCTTGTGATGACGGCTAAATTTTTTCTTCATGTGCTATGTGACCTACACTGTTTAATAAAAGGCATTAAGTTCACAGTCTTATACCTTTGTCTTTTTTCTCAGATTTTCAAATACTTTTTTGCTTTGAAACAAAGTTTGTAATAAGATTCATGTCAGAGCTGGGTGGTTCAGTTTATGGCTTACAGCTCCTTACTAAGGATTTATTTTTCAATCCCGACAGAGAAAATGAATGGGCAAATACTTCCAGAACCCAGACTGCTGAAAAAAGTGAGCTGTGACTGCTGTACTCTATTAACAACTCAGCAGATTTTGTTTCAGAATTTCTAATAAAACAGTAGCATCTTGTTTTGACACTGCAGGGGTAAAAAATATTTTTGGATGATTTGCATTAATGATCAGGGCTGCGTTTCCCAAAAGCATCGTAAGCTTAAGTACATCGTAGACCCATTGAAACCAATGGAGCTACGATCAACTTAGGCTTACGATGCTTTTGGGAAACGCAGCCCTGGACAGTTAATACATCTGAGTGTCACTGTTTCAGATTTGCGGCATTAGATCCAGGCCTGTACAAGGCTGAAGTGCCAAAGAGATCAAAGAGCTTTACCCAGTAAAGACCAGACAGAGCAGTGTACAGATCAGAATGAGGACCTGGTTGAACATGGCAGAGTGTGTGCGCTGAATGGCACGATGGAGATCATTCTAGAAAGGAACAGAGATAGGTGAAAGCGATCTCATCCCTCAGAGAATAAACCAAGACAAGTACAAGTACAAGAATAAAACATATATTGCAGGCAACGTGAGATAACTGTAAACGCCCTGTTCTGAAAGAAAGACTGCCCATTTAAGTGCCTGCTTTAAAGAGAACGTAATAACCTTCATTATCTTTCATTCATTGCACAATGAAGGTCTAGAGCTCCTCAAATAACTAATTCTTCTATTCCGCTGAATGTAATAGAGCAAAATATAGTAAGACAAATGTGAATAACTGTACTGCTCAATTATATATGAGATACACATGTATGTTAACTAAAATGTCATGCCCATGAGATCATGCCTTAAATGGTTGCCTTTTCGTAATATTCACCTCACTAGGAAGGAAAATATATTTTAAGAAAACTTTGGGGTAAAATAGAGAAATATTTCTTCCATGTCACATTTTGGTTATGGTTAGTATTTCTCTTCTACCAATATCTTTGCTTAAAGCATTTGTAAAAGGACATTCCCCCTGCCAGGTTCTCTCTGGCCATTTGACCCGTTCATCTGGCAGGGAAGGGAACGCTGGCACCCTCTCAAATGTTTGCTCATTGATGATGCATTATCATTTGTCAAGTGCATAAAGCTTCCCAACAAAGCAATATTATCAAACACCACCCATGTTATTCTGCTAAAACACCCAACGTGATTTCCCATAGGCATGTGAAATGCACTGCAGAGCTGCAAAAACTACTTACAATCATGTTCTCCAGCGCTGATTTGGCAAGCCAACAGTTAAGAAACACGGGAACAAATATGTTCCTCAGCGGAGGCCAAAAGATCTAGAAAAGAAAACACTCATAGAATGAAGGATGACTGTATCAGACATATTTCAGTCTAGAAAGAATAAAAACAGTAAAAACATATAAGAAAGTAAAAACATTCAAAACATTTATAACAGAAAAGCATAACTGTGTTGTGTTCCACTCCATAGCTTTTACATCTGTAATGGCATTAGCAGAAAGGAATTAAACATCCTATAATTTGCTCCCACTGAATGCAGGTCAAAAAATGGTTATTTGTTACTTGGCTAATTGTTGCATTTCAGTAATAATCATTCACTATCACAATTAGCTTTCAAATGTCAATGGCTACTCATATAATTACCATCAATCACAACAATACTATCCCAACAGTACTCAACAATTACTATCAACAATGACTGTTTGACGGCAGCAACTGGATACGTGCTTCTGTGTCCACCAGATATCTTCATAACTTACTGTAATTATGAATGGCACTGTATTGATCATCTCAATGATGAAGGAGATTTGGAAAATCTGCTCCCAAATGTTCCCCTAGAAATGAAATAAATGTTATACTGCAGAAAAAGCACATTTAATGCAAATGTATTGCACAAAAATAAATATATAAATAAACAAAAACATCCTAATTCATATAATGTAAAAATCTAAAATAATCTGTCCTAAATAGTGACATTGGAATTACTGCATCCAATTTACAGTGTGAAAATAGCATGTAGTTTGTACTATTTTGTATGGAAGCCCGTTTCCACAACAGAATAGCAAACTAAAAAAGGTATTTGCGACTTTTAATCTTATAATTTTGAGATAAACTGATAAACCAATTCGGAGAAGGAAAGTCAGAGTTGAGAGATAAATGTCACAATGACCTTTTCCATGGCTGAAACAAAAAACTGAATTACAAGATGTAAACTTCAGAATTCTGAGAAAAAAAGTCAGAAAATATGAGATGTAAACTCAGAATTCTGAGAAAATGTCGGAAAATTATAGAATTCTGAAAAAAAGTCAAAGTTGCAATGACCTTCTCTGTTTATTTTGTGGTGGAAACACAATTGGAAGGAAGTGTGTAAAAAAGTACACTACAAATCTTTTCATAGTGTAAGTGCACAAATTGGGATGCACCCTTTAATTACAACAAAGATTAAGCTCCCAGCAGCAGAAAATTCAGCTTTATTCTTGTTAAATCAATAAAGAAACAAGTTGGAGAATTTTTTTCTGTCAAAAGTGAAGAGCACTTCCCATTATTGGGGAACTAAAGACGTAAAGTGGCCCTTAAGCGACCCAAGAGAAGCTGAAATAGTCAGATTTAATTTAGATCAGTGGTTAGAAAGCTCACAAGGGCAGAATAACAATGACAATAATCTTACCTTGTAGCTGAGATACACCAGGAGCATTGCTTGCAAGAAGCTAATTAAGGCCACTGTCACCTGTGGTGCAGGAAACATTATAATTTTGATTACCCAGGTGAAAAAGAAATATATTTAAATTGTGCTTTTTCAGACATACTTACTATATTTAAATTATACTATACTAAGTGCATATTAGATGTATTATTTTGAAACAACTTTAAGTATATTAAGTGTATTTCAAGATATGTTTAAGTTTGATTTTAATCTATTTGTAATATATTTAATATATTGAAATTGTGTTAAAATGGAACCACTTTAAGTATATTTAGTGCAATTTAAGTGTATTTCTTAAAATACATTTAAAATGTCCTTTTAATACTTCATGAACTACAGTTAGAGTATATTTGAAGCATCGTTTTAATGTACTTCAAGTACATTTCAATTGTATTTCAGCTCATTGGAAATGCATTAGCATTACACTACTAGTATATTATAAAGCTGCTTTTTTCAGTATATACACACACGTACACACTTTGATATCTAGAAAACTTTAATGTATTATATATTGTTGTGTACATTACAAATAACAATTACAAGCATATATACTTTGGTGAAAAACAAAACAAAACATACTATTAAATGTATTAAAAATGCACTTGAAATACAAGTATGTTTATAGTATATTTGTATTACTACAAACATACTCAAGTACATTTTAATACATTATAAAAAAACATAAATAAAAAAAGACTGAAATGCTATGGCAGAGCTATCTTTTCCATTTGTAGAACATTTCAGTTATACCGGCCTTACTAAAAAGTACAGAATTTTACATCAATGAATAAATAAAAATTACAATGCAATTTTCTGAAGAAAAAAAATACATAAAAAAGACTGCACACACACAAGCTATTCACTTATGCACTTTGTTTTTCAAAGACTGAAGATGATAAAGTTCAAGCAACAGAATAGGGAGGGATGGAGGGGGTTTTGGAGGTGGACAAGGAGATGGCGTAGGGATGGTGAGAGGCAAAAGTGCGGGGATGATGGCAGGATGTGGCGAAGGGATGGTGATGGGAGGATGACGATGATGCCCTGGCAGCTTAGATGGTGTTTGGCACATGGCACAGACCCAGAGCATCCCAGTGCTGACAACACACGGCGGAATCGAGGGAGCGAGGAGCCAAGATGTAGATGGTGTGGCTGCCAACATCTGGGGGCCGACCGATGGAGACAGAGCTGGTGGATCCGAAGGCGCAAATGGAGGGCTGATGGAGCTGAGCGTCGTAGCAGGTTCCGGAGACCTGGGCACCCTTAAAAGTGTAACTAAAAATATATTTATTGCCAAAGTATTTCTAGTATACTTTTTTATAAATACATTAAAAGTATGCTTCTGTTTAGCATATTTCTTAGAAGTATAACTAAGCATATATTTAATACAAAAGTACTTCTACTATACTTTTTAGAAATATATTAAAATGCAATTCAATATATTTTTATTGCACTTCAAATAAGCATGTTGGGAATACAAATGTATTATAAACATACTACTTGAATTTCAAGTATATTTTTAATACATTTAATACTACGTCTTTTTCACCTGGGTAGTGGAGTATCAATAACAGAAAATAATGAGATTTCAGGAAATAACTTCAAATCCTATCAGAGTCTGAGTACTGTGTGAGAGTGAGAAACAATTAGTTGTCATAAAGACATGTGAACAGTGATGCACACTCTTAAAAAATAAAAAAGGTTACGCAATGCAAAACCCTCCTGGGGTCTGTCCTGTGCACCTCTATTGCTGTCTGGTTAAGTTCAGACAGCAAACAGGACAAAAGAAAATTGCATCTGACAGTCAGGAGCACTGAGAGGATAATTGGTGCACTGTTTTTCACCGTTTATATCACTCTGTTTGTCTGTCTTCCAGACAGACTGTCAGTCAATGCAGTAGTGGGTATTTTTCATTAACGCTTTCTGCAGGTTACATCATTACGCCAGTTGATGGTAATAAAAGACCATCTTGATGAGAGAAACATTCAAATTATTTGTTTAAAGCACACTGATTTATAAAGGAACCAAAGAAGTGACTGATTTTATGATTTTATAGTCTTTGAATCATTCGCTCAGCTGATTCATTCAAAATGAAACAAGTGAATATGAGTGAGTCATTGGTTCATTCACTTAACTGATTTATTCAAAGCACATTGATTTCTTGAGGAACCAAACAAGTTCCTGATTTTGTAGTCATTGATTCATTCAGTTAACCAATTTGTTCAAAGCACACTGATTTATTCAGGAATGAAACAAGTTACTATTTTTATAAATGTATCACTGAATTATTTGCTCAAACAGTGCATTCAAAAAACTGATTCAATCAGGAATAAAAACATTATTTTAGTGGCTTAGTGGCTTAGAACAAATTAGTTTGGCGGACCAAAACCAGACAAAGTATCTGATTTTCAATATATTTTAATAGTATGTCTAAAATGTAACTTAAGCAATGTAACTTGTTTATTGAAGTGTTGTAGAAAAGCAATATTGTACTTGCAAGTGCAGTGGTCTGAATTCCAGCAGGGTATTCATATTATTTCAGATATTTAAATATATTGACATTGAGCCAATCTGCACACACCTCTCCATAAGATTTTTATATTTTAATTTACTCTGCCTATATGTTTATTCTTGTAATGGATCTTGTATATTTAATCTATGAAAGTGGTTAGCACAAAAAAATCCAAAAAGCCAATAAAGCTTTTTTTAGATTAAGATTCTAAACCACAAAATAGAGATTTTTTTAAAGATATATTTTGTAAAAGGTTCTTTCCATGAATCACAAAAAAAATCTCTACCTACCTGTATCGCCCATACAGGAACTCTCCTATTCACCCAAAATATTAACTCCCTTCAAATATACATAACAAGAAACACAAACACATAAGGAAATATTCAAAAAGAAACACCCTAATTAGTTAATAAGTTTGATTTATGATCACAATATCAAATATGCAGACAGGTCTCACCAGTTTATTTGTGTGGGATCTGCGGTCAGGTTTGTTGTGTAGTTGCCACAGGCTTTGCTGCAAAGAGCATCTGTGATGTTTGTGCAATGTTTCCTATAATCACGATAACAGGCAGTTAGAACATAACACACATAAAAGTGAAAGGCATCAGGATTGAAACACTGAGGGATCATGCCTGCTGGCTCTGACATAAACGACAGCATGAGATGGCCTCTCTCATTTGATTACTGCTCGTAGGGCACCCTCTCCTCTCCCAGCATGCCTGCACACAAGTACACACTGCTCTCTCTTTCTGTCAGTTACTAAAGACACTGTCCATGAATGGTTTTTGTGGCTGGTATTAAAAGCGACTCTAATGGACACTTCAGACTGATGAGTCTGGGCTGATCCCAAGAGTCGGTCTCAAGTAATTTAAGCGGTGCTTTTGAGGCGTACTATAATGCATTTTATTTTGGTGTGCCTTTGTTGTCATGTCACGAAAGAGCTGAAGTAAAATCATTATACAGCAGTTAGTTCCAGTCCTCTAAGATGACTGGACAAGCAGCGTTTCAATACTGCTGATACTTTCCATGGAATGTTGCGAGAGGTTTTGTTGTTCATATCATTCTGCTGTTGTGTGTTAACGTTCCAGACCAGAGTATGTGAGTGGAAGTGAAGTTGTCTGATTTTGCACAGAACAAGGAGCATTTTTTCTCATCATCTCATCAGTGAGGAAGAAACCCAAAATGGAGCTGAAATGGACTGTTGTATAAAAGACGTATCGCACAAGCAAGAGTGCTGTTATGATCTTTTGTGTTGCATGAAAGAAAAAATTACCATTCAAAAGTTTGGGTCATTAAATTTTTTTTTTTTAAAGAAATGAATACTTTATTCTCCAATTATGCATAAAAATGATCAAAAGTGACACTAAACACATTTATAATGTTACAAAAGATTTCAAATAAATGTTGTTCTTTTAAACTTCCTATCCTGACAAAATGCACCACGGTTTCTACAAAAAATATTAAGCAGCACAATTGTTTTCAAAATTGATAATAATAAAATATGTTACTTGAGCTGCAGATCAGCATGTTGGATAGGTTTCTGAAGGATCATTTGATGCTGAAAATTCAGTGATGCAATGGTGCTAAAAATTCAGCTTTGCCATTACAGGAATAGATTACAATGTAAAATATAATAAAATAGAAAACAGTTGTTTAAAATTCTAATAATATTTCAAAATATTACTGTTTTTTACTTTAAGAAATTAGGCATAAGGGACCTGTATCGAAAACATAATAAAATCATACTAACCCCAAACTTTTGAATGGTAGTGTATATATGAAGATGTATAAATGACAGAATTTTCATATTATATTTTTCCCTTTAAATATCATGCTTACTCACCGTGCACATGTGATCTGGTTAGTTGGATCATCTAGTGAGACTCTGATTATATAAAGGAGGCATGTTAACAACTTCAAGGAGAGGTTGAAGAGGCGTATTCTGAGACCTGCAATACAGTAAATTATGAAGTGGAGTTTCATACCATAGAAAACCCATCTGGAAAATGTGTTATAAATAATTCAGCAGTCTGGCAATCCAACAAACTTACAGTACCATCATAAATTCACACAAACAGTTAAAACAAAGTCACCTTCGCTGTTATGATGATTTAGCCAGTAATAGGCCACATAAAAGGCAAAGATATGGAGGCACTGTACATGTGTATGTATAGTGATATTGAGATCCATTAAAATCTTGAGTATTGTTTATGCTTGCAGTAATGGATTCTGTTTTGTTGGCTGTAAATGGCTCAAAGGGTCAAAAGATTTTACTTACTTGACCTTTGGTTTTTGATGAAAAAGAGCTTCAACCTCTCCTTGAATGTGTTTTCATTTACATAAAATTCCACCTGCACCCTGTGGAAAGGAAATAAAATGATGTTTTAACACAATATTTTAAAACTAATTTTACATGCAGTGGTAGTAAATGTATGATATAGTTACGCCCAAAATATTTGGACACGTAATCACACTTTATAATGATAATCACACATTTTAAAATGTCCAATTTTTTAAATATTCATTCTTCTGTAAAAAAATAAATATATATATAAATATATATATATATATATATATATTAACAGCAGCATACAAAACTGCCCAGAGTGTAACTAACTTCTTTTAATCTCCAGATCCATCTTTAAGATGTACGAGAGCGTTTCAGATCTTTTAGGACATCTGACAAGGAGCATTAGCAACGGTGGTGCTTCAGATGAACTCTCAGCAGACATCAGCCTCTCCCATCTATGCATGAATGTTTCCCTAAGTACTATTTCAGTGTCTATAATTTTGAATTCATATATATTATCATCATATTGCGGCAACATCCTTTATGATCTAAAATACAGCATCTTTGAATCTATCCCAAAACACACAACACTGTAGCTTCACGAAATCTACAGTCACCACCCACACAATGCTGTAAAATGATTAATCACATTGATGCTCATCATGCATATCACTAATGAGATGCTTTTGGGTGAATTTCGGGAAAAACTCAAAATCAAAAGAAATTCATATTTGCATACAGAAATTAATTTCACAAAAAAAATAATTATTTGTATTCTGCAATAAAAACTGAAACTGAAAAAAAAAACAAGAACTGAAAACTGAAAAAATTCTGCCCAGATACAGTACACTTTTCATTTTTTTTTTATTAAAACCAACATTTTTTAAGCAAGCTGCAGAGAATAGGAGTGTGTACTTGGTGGTGCTATAAGTGATTTCTGCCATTTTGTTAATTTCCGTCATTTTGTTTTTGTCTGTCATCCAACCACACTCAATCCAAAACCCGTCTTCAATTCATCAGAAACCCCGAGGCCAGGAATCCCAAACACAAAACATCACAGCATCTAATCTATTTGAGCATCACAGCCTACTTCCTTACTACACTACCGGTCAAAATAATGCTTAATAATTAAGATTTTTTTATATTTGCTCACCAAAGCTGCATTTATTAGATCAAAAACACAGTAAGACTGTAATATTGTGAAATATTACAATTTAAAATAACTGTTTTCTATTTTAATATATTTTAAAATATAATTTATTCCTGTGATGGCCATGCTGAAATTACATTATAATATGATTTAAAAAATCTTAATAAAAAAAAAATCATAATTATTCCAAACTAATATTATGATTTAAAAAACTCATTTTAAAAAATCATAATTTGACCCGTAGTGTATATAGTATGCAAAAACCACTACAAAAAATGTAGTATATCCAAATACCCTCATAAAACACAAGGTGAAAACATTCCCACTGCTTCCAAAGAGATTCTGAAATCTACATGACATGCACAGAATATACTTTATAGTTGAGAAGTCATTTGTACATTTGACAGTATGTGATTTGACGCAGCTAATGATTCGCAGCAGAGAGTGAAAATACAGCGCTCACATCTGTGACAGAGACGTGCAATTTCCCAGGACACCTACTGGTATTTCAGTCATATCTGTCAGCCATAGAGACATTTTATGCATGGTCTAAAAATTAACACACACACACGTTTGTTTCTGTGAATTGTGGGAACTTTCCCTAACAGAAAACCTGTTTGCATTGTTACACTTTCAGATAAACATAATTTACTTTTTTTTTTTTTCCCTGACCGCAGGCCGGTCCCCACAATGTCAAAAATTTCAGGTTTAACTATCCTTGTGGGGACATTTGGTCCCCACAATGTAGCATAAATAAGTACACACACACACACAAATAATCAACAAATAATATAGCATAAATAAATACACACACACACACACACACACACACACACACACACACACACACACATCTTGAATAATTTACAGCATCTTTAATAATCAAAAAATAATTTAAAAATGCTACAGTCTGTACTTTTTTAATGAACATATTTTTTTTCTTTTAATTTTGGGACAAAATATAATATAGAAATTCCTTTGGTAAAACCCTTTTGCTTTTTCCATATAACCATTCTTGCTTCTAATTACTCCACTAATGCACATTTCTTGGTGATAACGCATATTATGTCATAAAAGCTGTGCATATAAAGCTTGAATAATACATGATTTTTACACTTTCAGTTGCCCTTAAAAACTGAAATCACTGTGGTACACGTTCACTATGGGGATCATTATACTGAGTATGTTTGCTATTTGTGATGTCACAATCATCATACTAATGGTAGGCTAGAGCTTCTCAAAGCCCTTTACATTTGTCGAGGGCATGACATGATGTATATTGCAGGCAGTAATTATAAGCACCATATTCAGCAGAGAAATAGAGAGAGATATCCTAGAGAACAGCCATTGTTTCCTGCTTCTCCTGCTCTGTCTCCATGGCAATGCCGTTAAAACAGGTTGTGGTGACACATACTGTAAGGTAGATGTTTACTGAGCTGAGGACTGTTTTGTTGAAGTCAAAAAAATAAGTTTACAATCATAAAACAACGACCGGTGTAATGCATTAGATAAAAACAAACAATACCAGCTTCTTGAAATAGGACTGCATTTCACATATACGCAAGAACGGATCAACAGACACACAACACCCACACACACAAAACTTGTCCGCAAGTCTTCACTGTGCCAGAAATAATTGCTCTGCCTGACTGTCAAACTGCTTCTCACATTAGAAAAGACTGACATTATAATTGCAAGGAAATCCGTAACATTTCGTGGCAACATGGAACAACAGGGCTGGCCAGTAATAGCTGAACTGATAGTAATATAGTCTCTGTAAAAATCTTTTTTCTTTTGATTTGAGCGGCCCAAAATATACCTTCAATCCACCCACGTACGCTAGCTCTCCAACTGACAGATACTGTGTTAGCTCTATTTATAGTGCGCGGAGCATAAATATTGAAGACTCAGAGTCTGTGTGCTCATGTCAGCCTACTTTACAGAGCATTCCAAGGGAAATAACACTAGAAGTTAGAATAGGGACATTCACATCGTTTTGTAAAGCAAGATTTTCTTAGCATAGGAGTAAGAAAAAAAAAAAATTTATTTTGTAAGTTTAGAAATTAGGCATTACTGGAGGAGCACTAGTTCGGGGAACCAGGTCCGAGTGGGCCAATATGGCTCCACTAGCAAGAGTCGCTCCTCGTCCTCCCGGACTTTGCACAGTTCCTCCTCACTGGGGGAAACGCATACTTGCGTAGGCCCCGCGGCCAGCTGTGTGACAGTCAGCACGAAGTGACCTCAGAACCTTCCGACTCCAAAGGAGGAGGGGTGGCGGGCGGGTTGCGACATGCGACGGGAGCGCAGATAGCCTTGTCGGTTGATGTACGTAACGGTCGCTGTGTTGTCCGTTCGGACCAGCAAGCACAACTGATCCTGAGACTGTTCTAGTATAAGCCAATCGTCTAGAGACTAGAGAGTTGAGGACGTGAACACCCTGCTCTCTGAGGGGAACAAGAGCCGCCTCCGCGACTTTGATTCCAGCCTCGGCAGAAGCCAGCGAGATGGGCTGGGTAGCGCTGACCAGGCGCCCAGAAACCGTACAAGTGGGGCCAGCGGAACCACAGCCGTACCCGCAGTGGGGCAGCGAGGTGGAACACAGGGACCCAACTCGGGTGGCTTGTGAGCGGCCCGGAGAGGGGTGTGAGTGTGGGGTGCAAGGCTCACCTGGTTCCACGGGTTGGCAGAGGGTGCGTGAGTAGGGCCTTTGTTGACGCTCTCGAACCGCCCGCTGCTGCCGGCTGGCGAAGGAGGAGGATGAGTGCGGTCCGGCGTTGGTCCGTCCGCAACTCTCCGCGCCCTCCTGGGACCCAGAGATAAAGGAAACTGCTTTTCTGTCGAGAATTTGGGTACAGTCGGCCGTGAGGCCAACGGCGGGAAAAAAGGTGGAGAGTTGGAGAGTTTTGCCATGCTACTTACACCGCTGGCTTGGTTGTTTGGATCTTGGGGCTCTATATTTTGTATACAAATGAAATAATATATGAATTTAAGTGAATTTGAACCCTATACACAATACATAGCAAACAGAAAAGTACATACCATGTGTGACTCCAGGAGTCAACAATTGATTCCCTAATACGAAACAAAATATATAACTACAGAAACAAGGGTCGCACTATATTTTACATTATGTTCACTTACATGTACTTACAGCAATGGGTAATATAAGGTAACTCCCAATGACACCCCAGTGACAGCTTTGTACCTTTTTTTCTGAGAGTATAACATAGCATTTTGGATAAAGGAATAGTTCACACAAAACATCTAAAAAAACTGACCGTTGTCCCTGTAGCTCTCTAATCTCATTTATACTTGTGCATATTTAAAGGGGTCATATGATGCGATTTCAAGTTTTCCTTTCTCTTTGGAGTGTTACAATCTGTTCGTGAATAGATAAGATCCCTAAAGTTGCAAAGACTAAAGTCTCAAACCCAAAGAGATATTCTTTATAAAAGTTAAGACTAGTCCACGCCCTCCTAAAATGCCTCATTTAAACACGCCCCCACATGTCTACGTCACTGTGTGGGAAGATTTGCATAACACCGCCCAAATGTTCACGCAAAGAAAGAAGGCGTAACTTTATTGTTGCTGCCGCCGCCATGTTGTGAAGACGCTGTGTGTTTCGTTGCAAAAGCGAAAATACTTTGTTTGGCCTTCCAAAAGAGGACATGACTAGAAATCAGTGGTTAAGTTGTATTTACAACACTGTTCCAGAACAGTTCAACCCAAATATTCAGATGTGTGCAGCGCATTTTATTGAGGACTGTTTCCTGATCCTGGGAGAGTAGACTACAATGCCGGCTGTTCTGACTCACAGTCTGTAAGTACTAGGGGTGGGAGAAAAAAATCGATCCATCGATGCATCGCGATTCTCTCTCCAGCGATTCTGGATCGATTCTGAGAATTTCAGAATCAATT